TACAGCGGACCTCGAAAAATTAACACAGCAACAACGCTGGAAAAATTGGCAGCTTTGGACGCAATTTCCAGTTACTGGAGTCTACTTTGAACGCGGCATAAGTTATCATTTCAACTCACTCAATTCTCCGCAGTATCCAGCGATTTTTTGAAGAAGCTTGAATCCACAGCTGAGACGGCGGGAACGAGACTTCTTAGCGTTCGGGGATCCTTGGATGCCATTAAACATCTCTGCGAAGAAATTGGCTTGATTGTCTGTCATCTCCAGCATTGCTGATTTCTCCGAATCGATGTTGGAATAGACCATACCAATGATCAGGGAAAGAAAGAGGACAACTGCGAGGGTATTCATCTTGGAGTGGACGAAGGAGAAGTGAGACACGCTTTCAGTGAGAAGCCGTTCAGGGGAGAATGAGACTCTGACTGGATATCGACGCCGTTTCAGCAAAATGGGCGGAGTCAAAAAATGGCGTTTCAGCAAAATGGGCGGAGTCAAAAAATGGCGGAGTCAAAACTTTCAGATTGTAATGGAGCTCTAGACGCAAAAGGCGCGATGGAGGTTTTAGAAGAGAAAGAAGAAGAAGACGTCAAAGTAGAAGGACGCTGAACAAAAAGCAACTAGCAGCAGACATCTGTTTGTATAGTTATGATGTGAGCGAATAGAAATCGTAAGAACTTTTGAACAGTGTAGTTTTCTTCAATTTTTTTTTGCAAAACAATTATGATGATATATCATATATGAGAAATATGAGAAATATGAAGATGATATATGAGATTTGGTAAGATGTGTTATGCTTTATTAGTATCTCTAAATAGACTCAAAAGTGAAAAACGAGTACGATGGTGAGGGAAACTAGAAAATGTTTGAAGAAGAGGAAAAGCAGATATATGTTTTACTCAAATTACAAGGGGACCTCAACACCTCGTGAATCCAGATTTTGAGATAAAAAAAAAGAAAATTGAAAAAAAAATATTTTTCGAGAAAATATCTGAAATCTGAAATTTCATTCATGAAAATTAATAATTTCGGAAATCTGAAAGTGAAAGAAACCAACAGTAATCTTTTCCCAGGAACGATGGGATGAGCTTGACCGAGAAACTTATTCGTATAGCTTTTAATTATTTTTCAAACTACATATTTTGTAGTTATTCTATGTCATTTCCCGTTAGTCTTTTTTTTGTTTCTAATTAAAACGGAAAATGCTATATTAGGTTCCCACTAACAGAAAAAAGATAGAGAAGATGAAAACTACAAACGTGTCAACTTCAGATTGCTCATCAATTATGATCCAGAAGAAAACTAAAAAGTTTAACTTCTCGAAATAGCTGCACTTGTTTAATGAATTCCAAGGATAGGCACGTATTAATTCAATGGGGAATAGTGCGAAGAAAATTACATGATTTGTGATGATAGCGAAATATTTGAGGCAAATATAAATATGCGTCACTGAGGTTTCCAGAAAGCTTTGGAATAAAAAAGTTAATCATCAAAGACGTCAATCGATGATGTTGGGACCAATAGGACCGTTAGGAAAAGTGTGGGTGTCTGAGAATTCAGTATTTTCTCAATTTCTAGAAAATCTCTGCGAAGATAATTGGAAAATGGAAATTGACAAAAAAAACATCGAAATTTAGTCTCTAAAATTCTATTGTGAGTTCTTCCAGATATGAGTAACTAGTCCGCCGTCAGAAAAACTTTCGAATGATTTTGTGTTCCTTCTAATCTTTCCAAACACTTGATGAATGCTGTTTAGATCCACATCAACACGAATTGGAGGTTGTTCAGTGGTTGAATCGAAGTAAGCTGTCCTGAAAGCCCGTCTATTCTTTGAAGTTCCAATTGTTCCCCGTTAAAACTTCAAGAGATACAAGCCTTCATCAGTTTGTCATTTTGCACTTATAGACGTTGCAAAGCGTTGGGAACTGGCCGAAGGATTCATGATCACATCTGCTATCCACCACGTCGAATATCATCTTGTGAATAATACAAAAATAGATAACGAAAAGTTAATGTGGATGGCAGATACATAGATATGGAATGGATGTATTGTTAGAGAAAATTATCAAGAAGTTGGATACTGTAACAAAAGCAAAGAAATTGAAGGCGTCATCGGGTTAACTGGAGTGATCTGGTAAGACGAAGGCAAAGATTTTGAATAAGGTTATGATGTTGACAATTTTTCCCATTGTCTTGGAACAATGACAACCTGAAAGCGAGATAACCCAGAGTCTCCCGATTTTCTCCATAAAATCACTCTGGATTATCCGCTTTAATCGGGTCATGTTCATTCCCCTTCTTATCTCTCTTCGTTCTCTAATTTCAAGTGCATTGTTTCACTCAAATAATATTAATATTATTTGAATACGCGCCAACGACCGCGTCGCAGCGGCCGCGCCGCGCCACTCGGCACTGGCGTCCGCCGCCCGTCGTTACTCAGTCTTCGCTGCGGCGAAGCGAGTGTTCGTATCTCACCAAGAGCTGACCGCTATGCGGTCCCGTTTAACCTTTTTTAGCCTTTCAGCTAGTTTTCTACGTTTGGCATCGTTTTGGTTTGTTAGCACCAGTTTTAGAAGGCAGCAAGGTTTCCTCCGGTAGCTCCCAGGAGGTTTTAGCTGGGGGGAATTGGGGGCCATTTCAGGTTGCTGACACTCTCGGGTTAGGACGTAGGATCGGTCTCAACTGACTGAGGATCCGCTGTCAACATGGTGCATCGACCGGATGGTCCCGTGAATGTTGGAGTTCCAAAATATCGATTTTCACCAAATTGGGCCAGAAAATCACGAACCTAGTCGAATCCGAGAGTCGTTTGCGCGCCTAGGTTTGTCTCCCCTCCCCTTTGTGTTAAGATCCCCAATTTATTGAAACGTTTCGAAAACATAGAGATAACAGTACGCAATTAGGCGCTTCGTTTGAGTGATCTACTCCAAACTTTTCAGTGTAGAACTGTTTAATTTTTTATTTATTCAACAAGACACCCAAATGAAAAAAACACAGGAGCTGGACTGATTTCTTGATTTTTTTCCTAACATCATCTGCAGAATCTTTCGGAGGACCTGCAAAAGCTTTTTTCGAGGACCTTCTTACAATTTTACGATTAAGGAATCCTAGGATTTCGTCGCTCTCAAACTTTCAGATTTGTAAGATTCTGACTTTTTGAATTTCAGAAATACAAAATTCCAGGAGTTTTTTTCAGCTGTTTTTTTTTCCTTCGTCACAGTTTTATTGCTAATATAAAAACAGGTCGAACATTTTTATTTGAGTACTGGTATGACAAGCGGAAGCCAGAAAGGTTTATCCCCAAAAGGGCGTAAGCCAACTGGTTTTCTATTAAAACAAGGGTGTATTTTTTTGATGAACCGTTGTTGGTTTGGTCAGAAGTTTGTGAGAATTCACTATTTTTTGTAAACCGTCAAAACATCATCTGTGCTTCTGTGATAATTCTCATTGCCTTTCCCTATATTTATTGCTCACTTATACATGTACTCTTGCTGTTGTTTTCAGGTGGACATATTTTTAACGGTCATCATTTTACATTTCAAACCCTTTTTTTTGTCCTCCTGTATACAAAATAGAAATTCTTTTAAATTTTTTTGCCAGAGATCACATTTGCTGTTATTTCTCATCACAGACTAATTTTTTCCGATTACCAAACTATTTTACGCATGTATATAACAAGTAGTGAATTTCAAAAGTTTTAATTTTCACATCAAAGTACTGAAATTTCAAGTTTTTGGGAGCAACGTGTTTTTTCAACAAATATAACATAAATATTAACACTTTCTGAATATTTTTCCCAAAATTAAAACTTTTGAAAATCACTACTTGTTATATCTTAAACAAAATCATGTGTTAAAAAATCATGTGTCTCCTCTTGTTCTCTGCTTTATAAGCCAGAGCCGTCGACGAGGCCTTAGATTCCAGTGGAGCCGCTTTGAGCTTGTCCAGGTGCGTCTGGAATTCTTTCCCTGCTTGTCTCTCGATCTCTTCGATGTAATCCTTTTTGGGGCCTTCTGAAAATTAGTTTATAACTCTTTTGTCCTTCTTTATTCCTCTTCCCCGGGCGGGCGGGCTGGGACCCTCGTTAAAATTGCGTAGAATGGTTTGAAAACTCCGTTTTCACGCCCGGCGGTCGTGATCGTTGCGAGACCACAAGCCGCCTAAAGTCTATGCGCCTTTAACTCTCGCGCGCCTCTTTCTCCGTTCTTCAACGAAAAACATAATATTATCTTTCCTCTACGCTCCAAGAGAATATGTTTTTCTGTTTCATCACTTTGAAAGAGGGTTTTGATATTACAAGTTCATTATACATAGGTTTTACGTTCAATTAATAATGTAGAAACAAGTGCAAAGCCTGGGGCCTATTGAGTGAAATCTAAAAATGCTAGAATAAAATCGGACCTACAAAATTTTGAGTTAGTAGCCTCGCAATGCCTAGATCCCTCCCCGGGAATGAAAATACAATCGTGTTTCTCGTAGATAATATAGTCTTTTACTTCCCTTATGAACCTCCCTGAATAATCTACAAGCGTCTGATAAGAAATATGACTTTTCCACAACGGGGCAACTAGCACGCCTCTCAATCTCCTTCTCCTCATAATTTTTATTAACTGAGGTATCAAAACTGGTGGAGGTACTAACCAAGGAAGTCCCATTCGCTCTGCTCTCTCGACGTGCTCGAAGACGTTGACTCCGCTCGTTCCAAACTCGGGATATCTAGAAAAATACAATTCCGTCTTCTTATTATTCGCATCTGCGAACCAGTCCACTTTTATCTCGCCCCACATTCTCTGCGCTTGACTAAAAACTCGCTCAGCTATTCCCCAGTCATCAAAATCAAAGTTTCTACTCGCTTCGTCCGCTTCTACATTTTTCTCTCTCGGAATCCACAAAAACGAGCTCTCACCGACGTTCTCCAAGTTATGCCACACTCTCTCAGCTAAAGAATGCAGCTCTGGCTTCATGGAGCCTCTTCTCACACGCTCACAGCTGCCTGACTATCGACTAACACCTGAACTCTCCCTTTCAGGTTTGAACTTATTCTCGCCGAAGCCACTTCGACCGCGGTCAACTCTCTCCAAGCGCTCGACTGTTTTTCAATGTTTCCGTCGCCGATTTCTGTCATTTTCCACAAAATATCCTGCCTCTCATTCTTTAACAAGCCTCCAATACCACGCGCAGAGGCATCGGTATACAGGAAAAAGTCGGGCTTTGACTCAACTTCTAATAAATTTCTTCTCAAAAGTTCTGCGCCTCTCGCTCTCCAGAACTCAAGAACTTCCTTGCCAACTTCGATTCGTTCTTCTTCTTCTGGTTTTCGCCGACCACCTGCATCATCCATCTTGCCTTCGCCACACCAATGTCACCTGCAACAAGTTCAAATGATGCCAGGCATCCCAAAAACTTCATACGGTCCAGAACCGTTGGAGCCAGGCTCCTCCTCAACTCATCAAGAGCAGACCACCACGTGGCCATTCTCTTCTCGGTTCCACGAACCTCTTTCGCGACCAGGTCGCATTCATAACCAAGCCACGTAAACTTAGCGTCTGGCACCCAGAACGACTTTTCTTCTGCCACACACACACCAGCATTATGCAGATCTTCTCTCACCTTTCTCACTGCTCTCGCGACTTCTCTCTCCGTCTCACCCACAACTAATCCATCATCAAGATACGTTTCGGAACCACGACGTTTCAGAACCCGACGTTTCAGAACTTTTCTGCATTTTTTATAGTGGTTTTTGCGCACCAGATAAGCATTGCTCATTTCAATTTTGTGTTTTTCTGCTTTTTTGTTCATTCTCATCTACCGTACTCCAAATAATAATAGGTTCACACTCTCAAAAAATCGAAAACGTTGAACTTTTAAAAAATGATTTCATTAAAAAATCATTCAAAATGAGACTTCTATTCGCCGGAAAAATTATTGCGTACTTCTAGACATCGTTCTTGAAAAGTTCAATATTTTTGATTTTTTGAGAGATACCCAGTGTGAACCTATCATTATTTGGAGTACGGTAGATGAGAATGAATAAAAAACAGAAAAACACAAAATTGAAGTGAGCAATGCTCATTTGGTGCGCAAAAACCACTATACAAAAATGCAGAAAAGTTCTGAAACATCATGTTCTGAACTGTCGGGTTCTGAACTGTCGGGTTCTGAAACCTCGTGGTTCCGAAACGTCGGGTTCTGAAACGTCCAGGAGCCGACATTGATAGGTAAGCTCCACACACTTCCAATAGTTTCACTTCCAATAGCTTGACACAAACACAACGAAAGGATTGAAGTGGTCGGTTTTCAGCCATGTTTTTGCAGCAACAAAAACCAGGTCATTTAGTTCATTCTACTTTTCAGTGTCTGGAAAAAAGAACAAATTGAAGGGAAGTTTTACCTTACTTGGCAATTCAGCTGGGAGGATCTTAACCTTCAACGCCTTCTGGGGCTTACGGGAGAAATCATTTGGCGTTGAAACGTAAATGCAAAATCTTCAAAAATTGAAGTGGATGTAACGGACGAAGTTCAAACTGTTCTAACAGAAATTACCGAAGATGTTTTCTTCAATTGCAACGTTCGTTACGAGTACACTTCAGTCCCTATCATTTCAATGACGGAACTTTCCCATGAAATGTTCCTCCCATCGGATAAAAACGATGCGATTCTTGAAGTGGATGGAATGCAACTTCATGTGAATAAATCAGTGAGTTTGAAGGCCTAGAATTTGGAATTCACAAAATCTTTTCCATTTATTTTTTCAGTTCCTCTCATACCATTCTGATTTCTTCTCCACCTTATTCTCTTCCAATTTCAAAGAGGGGCAAATGGAAGTGGTACCAATCAAGGATGTGACCTATGGCGATATCGGACTAATTCTCAGCACAATTTATCCAAAGACTGTGTTTCCAAATGGCATCGTTTTCCATTTTGCCAATTTGACTTCAAAATTAAAATTTTCCAGACAAAAGTGTTCCAAAACTTTTGGAACTCGCCGATCGATTCATGATCCCATCTGTTATACACCACGTCGAATATCATCTTCTGCATTACACAAAAATTGTAAACGAGAATTTGATGTGGATGGCTGATAGATACGGAATGGATTTGCTGTTGGAGAAAATGATCAATGAGTTGGAGAATGTAGCGAGAGCAAGAAAATTGAAGGCGTCGTCGGATTACATGAAGTTGTCTGATAAGATAAAGGCGAAGATTCTGGATAAGGTTATGACGATTATTTGATTTTTCTGGTATTTTTTTTTCAAATTTTGAAGTTTTTTACGATAACATCATTTGAAGAAGCATTAAAAAACTATCTAAGAACCGTTCACAGAAAAGTCTCTTTCGTTGGCGTTAAAAGCACCTGAAAAATTCTAGACATGCAGAATTTTTTCTTTTCGATCTTATTCTGTTTGTTCAAGCAAAAATTTTGTAGTGCCTGTAACAATAATTTTATTTCTCTTGGACTACTTTTATCCACTACAATTTTTTGCCACTTTTTCTGTTAATTTCAAGGTTGCACATTACTTTTAGTTTCCCAGAATTTTCCATTCCAGGTATTTTCTGAAACTTCGTTGAAGAATTTCAATCATCATCATTCTTACAATAAAAATGCTAGTATCTTTTTTTTAAATTTTTCTATCATCATTAATTTCGTACTTTTGTTTATGCTATTCCCCGTTGGATTAATTACATAGTACCTTTCCTTGAAAATTGCTAGACAAGTTGAGCTATTTCGAGAAGTCAACTTCGTTGTATTTTTCTTCTTGATCTTATTCAATGAGCAATCTGAAGCTTGGAGTGTTCGTAGTTGTCTGTTTTTTTCACGATACTTTTCTTGTTACTTTTGGGAAGAAACATAATGATGAATACTGGAAAATGCCACAGGACGCCGTCAAAGGTGGCGAAACATTTTGAAACTGGACTCGAAAATTCGAACTCTTTGGGTCTATGACTAACCAAAACCTTTGGGATCATATGTTAGTGAGGAAGAAGCTACAATTAATACGTCAATGTCTGGAAAAAGTAAAGTCGTAAACAGATGGAGACGTTGCTGGTGTGGCAAAATTAGTTGATTTTTTGAGAAGGTAGAAACTGGAGAATCGAGAGAAAACAGGCAGCATACATCTCCAAGTACTAGTTCTATTCGTATGGTGTGGGAAAATCGAATCATTGAATGTCTTTGTTTTTGATAAGGGTGAGAAACCTGAGATAAAGTTTATTTATGGAACAATTTTGGAATTGATGTTAGAAGTACATTCCAAAAGGTTGAATTCGTGAGAATGTTCTGGAATGCCAATCATCGGGCTCCAAGCATTGAAGTACTCCATGAATCACTGTTGCCCTCTTGGGAATCTAGAGACATTTGTGCTTTCATTCACATTTGACACCCCAAATTATGATTTGGTGTCAACAATTTCCACGTCAAAGTTGAGAAGACCGGAAAGCTGAAGGAGAGACTCAACGAAGACTGCTGAAGACAAATAGAAACAATGAGCATCAACAATAAAGATTTATTATGATTCAAACTGACTCAAACGACTGGGAGAGAAGTACTGGGGTGGGGAATGTGATCAAAAACAGAAATTATAACATTTCAACTGGGGAAGAACACGAATCTGGCGGCTGGATCACTGTGGACGACATCTAGAGCATCTCTGGACAGACGCTTCTCTTGATAAACTCTTCTGAGCACTCCGAACGGCAGCAGATAGAGGCAATATCTACACCAGTCTCGCTGGCTGAATGAAATCAATGAGTATTAATAAAAATTCCTATTTGAACTCACTCAATTCTCCGCAGTATCCAGCGATCTTCTGAAGAAGTTTGAATCCACAACTGAGACGGCGGGAACGAGACTTCTTAGCGTTCGGGGATCCTTGGATGTCGCTAAACATCTCGGCGAAGAAATTGCCTTGATTGTCGGCCTTCTCCATTGCTGATTTCTCCGAATTGAAGGTTGAGTGGACCATAGCAACGGTCAAAGAGAGAAGGAGGACAATGGTGAGGGTATTCATCTTGAAATTGATGAAGGGGAAGTGAGAAGAGCGGTCGGTGAGAAGCTCGTCAGGTATGAATGAGACTTTAACTGGATATGGGCGCCGTTTCAGAAAGAAAGGGGCGGAGTCAAAACTTTAAGACTGGGGCGGAGCCCTTGGCGCGAAAGGCACGACGGAAATTCTAGAAGAGGAAGAAGAAGACGTCAGAGTAGAAGGCATTGCAATTAAGTGACAATTTTAAGGGCGCTGAGCAAAGAGCAAATGGCAGCAGACTTGCGTATTCAGTAGTTTTTGAGAGATTCGAATATTTATAACCAGTCGGTTTGCGCCCCTTCGGGGCTGAACCTCCTGTCCTCCGGTTAGAGTACACGTAATCTTATAAAAACGTTTCTACACGTTTATTCTGGACCTCGAAATTGGAAATTGTGAAATTCAGTGTATTAGGAATTAGAGATTTTAAGATACCGTATTTCCTCTGATAGAAGTCCATGGACTTCTATTTTTCAACTTCTTTTTCAGGGTGGACTTCCATTAGAGGGTCGGCTTCTGTTTCTCAGCAATATATTTTCAAAAAAACAGAAATTTGGCAATTGGGAAGTTAAGAATTTTGAAATTCAGTGAAACATTCGAAACTTTCATTCTGCACTTCTGAATTTATGCGATTCTGAGATCCCGCGATCTCAAAATTTGAAATTCAGGGATTTTGAATTTCCGGGAAAAAGTTCTGAAATTCTAAAAATCAGAAATTCCGAAATTCCGAAATTCCGAAATTAGAAAGTTCAGGAATTGAGAAACTTTCGAGTTCTAAAATCTCAGTTTCAAAAATTCTGGAATTTCGAATTACCGTATTTTCTCTAGTTGAAGCCCATGGCCTTCAATGTATTAGAGGGCGGTCTTCTATTTTTTCGAAACACTTTGCGGGCGGGTTTTATGTATTAGAGGAAGTACAGTAGTCAAAATTTACAGAATTTCTGTTGGAAATTCCGAAGTTCGAAAATTTCAATTTTGAAGATCTTGTTAGAGGTTTTTTAAATTTTGAAATTCTGAGTCTAACTCTGAAATTAAAACTGTAAATAGAGAAGTCGGTTTACACTTTACAGGGGCTGAGCCTCTTTTATTGGAAATCTCGGAACTGAAAATTTTGAAAACTCTGGAAGTCAGAAATACGGAAACCCAGGTATCTATAAACTGAAATTTTGGAAAGTTTTATATTTGAAAGTTCAGAATTATGCGAATCCAAAAGTTCTTTTTTGATTTTGAACCTCGGATGAAAATTTCAAAATTTCCGAGTTTCTGAATTCTTTTATTTTTGAACTCAGAATTTCAAAAATTCATGCATATTCGTTTAATTTTCAAGTTTCCGAGTTTCCAAATTCTCTAGCTTCTGGAGTTTTGAATATTTGAGTGTTTAATTTTCTGAACTTCGAGGAGTTGGTAAATTTAGGAAGTGTAAAGCTAGAGATTTGAATTCAAAACGTCCACAGTTTGAAACCTTAATCTCGAAAACTTCAGTTCTTATCTGATTTTCAACTTCAGAGAGTTCCTATGTTGGAGATTTTGAGAGTTCCTATAGTTCGAAGTTCCTGTATTTCTCCCTTTATCATTTTTTCTGACGATCCGGATATCTCGAAACTCAAGAAATTTGAATTAGAAGAAATTTGAATTATACCCGATTTATCTACCAAATTGTTATCCCAAATTTGCTGATAACACAAAAATTATTCAAGTTGCTACTTTCGACTTGAAACTAATGAAATGGGGAAAATCTTTGCTAGGGTTTCATTCAAACTGATTAAAAATAGTCAGACATTTTCATATTCACTTCTGAACTCTCTACAAAAAAAACAAAAAAAGCTGTCACCGATCGGACTCGAACCCGCATACCGCGGGCAAAAACCCACTGCGTTAACCGCTACACCACGGGTCGCCTTTGGGAGGATGGGAGAAATGTATACACGTGTGTATGTATTTCCTCCCCCTTTTTCTCTCTCGCTCTCCACCATCGCCCTCTCTGCCCAACACGCTTTACTGTGGTGAAACCGAGGAACGTCTCCAGAAGACTTCAGAATCAAAATTTCGAAAATAGAAAGGGTCGGGCAAAAACTAATAAAAATTTCCAACTCGCCTGCCTAGGTTTCAGCTCAATCGGTTAACTTTGAATGGGTGAACAGACACGCTACATCCATCCGGACATACGGAATTTGGTGAATGTTATTAGTAATGATGATGTGAGAAGGTTTGAAGGAATTCTTGAACAGTGGTTTTTTCTTCAACTTTTTGCAAAAGTGTGTTTGCAAAAGTTTCTGATTGTGAGACTTTATATGAGATATTCGAGATACATGATATATGAGACCTCGATGGGTAATGATGTATTAGTATCTCTAAATAGACATAAAAGGGGAAAAAGAGTACGATGGTGTGTGAAAGTTGAAAACTTATGAAGAATGGGGAAAACAGATAAATGATACAACTCAAACTGATTGGTTATTTCGGTTCCATTATTTTTTTGATTGAGCTCAAATTAACGGTATTTGCTCATTGAATGTGGACAGGTGACAAACAATTTTTTATGGTGTGGAGTGGGAACTTTTAAAGTATCAATTATCCATACCAAGTAGACAAATAACAAAAAATGATGACGATAGTAAAGTTTTGCTTAATTGTTCATCAGCAATTTCGTTGGTAAAAATATCATAAAATATTTAGGTTTGATTTTACAAAAAATGTCATCACAATATTTGGCAAACGCTAAAATCATAAGTTTCTAAAAAGAAAATCATGAATTGTAAAAATATGAAAGTCTCACAAAATACCAATAAAATCAATCCAAAGAAATCATCTCGTTTCCTTCTTTAAAGGTGGGGGGACAGGAGATATTTCGTAGTTTTTTTGTAGCTAGAGTATGCATTCTACCGTCACGGTGTACAACGCTTAATGTCCATCTGCGTACAGCTGTCGTCCTCGCCTTTATGTATGCAAACGGGCGTGCGCTTTCTCTTTGCCCGCGTGGCTCAGTCGGTAGCGGCACCGCACCCTCAATCATCGCCCTCACAAGTTCAACTCCTCGAGGGGCATCTTTGAACGGAATTTCGAGAACATTATTTTTTCATGTCCCCCCACCTTTAATAAGTTTATTTTCTGACTCCCACCCTTTTTAGTTGTTTTGCAGAGGTTTTAGAGTTCCAGACTTCTACAAAATTCAACATTTCCAGATACCCACATTTTAGGTTGTTTCAGAAGACGTTGAATACAATTGAGAAGTCGGGAATCCAGAAAGTTCGCATGAATTTTTTTTCCAGGAATCTTGTGATAAGCTAGATGTTAAAACGTATTCGTAAAGCTTCGAATTGTCTTACAAACAACATTTTTCGTAGTTATACTATCAGTGTTCCAGAAGACTACAAATACGTCAAACTTCAGATTGCTCATGAATATGATCAAGAAGAAAACGAAACCTTTAACTTTTCGAAATAACTCAACTTGTCTAGCAATTTTCAGGGAAAGGTACTAATTAAGCGAACGAGGTGAAGCACCAATAAAAATTATATAAGAGAAATTTGAAGAATTTTTTTCTCATTTCTGAAAACCGGAATTTCTCAAATTTTATGTACAAAAAGAACAGAGTTAATAGAAAGAACAAAAGTTTTTCGAAAAGTTTGTCTGTTCCACAGATTTCGTCCAGTTTCGCCTTGCCTTTTTACAATTCAGAAATTTTCTGTATGAATATTCCAGAAATTAGTCAAAGTTATAGAAAATGTTGATTTGATGGATCTGAAAATGATCTTGAACAGAAAAATAGGTGGACAAATTAAAATTGGACAGTGTGCACAGTTGGGACAGTAGTAGTAGTTTGCTCAAATCCAGGTGACAACCAATCTTCCTGCACTTCTTGATGCTCTGTGCCTTCTTTCCTTCTACAGGTACAGAATCGGTTTGTCTCCCGATTTTGTACTTTTTTTAAAGGAAAAAGTGGTCACGCCAAATTCAAGTATTATTTGAATTGTGCCACGAGGTACGAAATCGGTAGGCAAACCGACTCTGTACCTAGCGAAACAATTCAAATTTTCTCTGATTTCACGTGTCTTTTTGTGCATTTTGAAACATTACTCATCAAATCCGATCTTGAACCAATTTTTTGATCGACACTCATTTTCTACAATACGCTTATTTGGGTGAGAGTGATATCTGAAATTTTGGATATTTTGAAGCTAATCCGACGTTAACAGTAAGTATATACCCGACCCGAATTCTTTCTCATCTTTTGATGGTACTTATTGTTGACATCGGATTGACTTTTGGCTAGCGGATTGGATATTGGATAGCAGTCTCAAAATATCCAAAATTTCAGATATCACTCTCACCCAAATAAGCGTATTGTAGAAAGTTAGTGTCGATCAAAAAATTGGTTCAAGATCGGATTTGATGAGTAATGTTTCAAAATGCACAAAAAGACACGTGAAATCAGAGAAAATTTGAATTGTTTCGCTAGGTACAGAGTCGGTTTGCCTACCGATTTCGTACCTCGTGGCACAATTCAAATAATACTTGAATTTGGCGTGAGCACTTTTTCTTTTAAAGGTGGGGGGACAGGAGATTTTTCGTAGTTTTTTTGTAGCTAGAGTATGCATTCTACCGTGACGGTGTACAACGCTTAATGTCACTCTGCGTACAGCTGTCGTCCTCGCCTTTATGTATCCAATCGGGCGTGCCCTTTCTCTTTGCCCGCGTGGCTCAGTCGGTTGCGGCGCCGCACCCTCAATCATCGCCCTCACAAGTTCAACTCCTCGAGGGGCATCTTTGAACGGAATTTCGAGAACATTTTTTTTTTCATGTCCTCCACCTTTAAAAAAGTACAAAATCGGGAGACAAACCGATTCTGTACCTGTAGAAGAAAAGAAGGCACAGAGCATCAAGAAGTTCAAAATGCAGGAAGATTGGTTGTCACCCGGATTTGAGAAAACTACTACTACTGTCCCAACTGTCCACACTGTCCAATTTTAATTTGTCCACCTATTTTTCTGTTCAAGATCATTTTCAGATCCATCAAATAAACATTTTCTATAACTTTGACTAATTTCTGTAATATTGATAATTTTTGTACAGAAAATTCAGACATTTGGTGAAACTGAAATAAATGCTACATGGTACATGAAATCATCAATTCGAGGTGTTTCTATACATGCGAAAAAATTCTTCAAATTTCAACCGTCTTATATGATTGGTGACGATATTTAAAAAATTATCACTATAATGAAAAGACGTCACCGAAGTTTCCAGAAAGATTTTTAAAGGGGGACTCCGGTCAATTTTTTTATTGCATCAAATTGTGTTAAAATTTATCTATTTTCCGAATATTATTGCGAAAAAATTCAAAAAAAATCCGAAATCCCCAAAAAACGCCGTGAAAAGGAAAAAAATTCAAAAAAAGGTGCCGCCGAGGGACGAGGATTTCC